GCCATGAAAATCCAACACGAGTATATATATATATGGATTTATATGTATGTTGGGCATCCATATAATATGGTGAAACGAGTGAGTTTGAGGCTCGAAAATCTCACCACGGCCAACTCGCGGTAGTTCGGTTTTTAGTTAATACCTATCGTGCACAATGCTGGGTAACCGACATAACCTCGACGATTCTTCCAACGATTTTCGTCGGATATATGTGTTGTTCACGGTGAAAATGTGTGGTTTGGTATTGTGAAAATGATCTTATTATTTTGGTTAATTATTGGGGATTATTCATAGCTTCCGTTCAAGGGTAATTGGGGTGTTTGAGGGGTTTTGGTTTTACTGATGTATTTATGGTTAACGATTTTCGGGGTAGCGTCGACTGAAGTGGGCAGCGTGCAGCGGAGGGGAAGTGGTGCCTGTACCGCTCGCCTGCGGAATCATAATTTTTCGCACCCCAAATCATGATTTCGAATAAAAATTATAGTTGCATAGCATTCTTTGGCTGTTCAGCTGGATATTTAGAAGTCTGGGAGCCTCAATTTTTGGTTCAATTTCGATAAATTATCAATAAATGAAGGTAGGAGCTGGGCGAGCGGTACTGGCCGCATGGAGCTGATACCGCTCAGTCGGATTTCTGTATCGCTCAGTACCTAACCTCTAGTCAATAGCCGTCGAACGAAAAAAATTTCCGATGATGGATGACTGAGTGACATGAATGGAATTCAGATTTTATTTGATAAATTGAAATGCGTAAGATCAAAATCAGTAGCGAAGTGGTAAACCGGGTTAAGTCGATTTTGACTTTTAGGCATTTTTTGACAAATATCTCGGAATCTAAGAGAGATAGCAAAATTTTGCTTATCACCTTTTTTATAAACCTCAGTTGGCTCTACAAAAAAGGTAATGGCAAACATTTTTCTATCTCTTTTAGATTCCCAGATATTCGTCAAAAACTGACCAATAGTCAAAATCGACTTAACCCGGTTTACCGCTTCGCTACTGAAATGATATTGTGAAAGTGTGAGAATGGTACATCAACTATTATTCCGCGTTTCTTGAGGGAATAATAATAAAATATTACGGCTCTATTTCGTTAGGACATTTTATTCTCTTTTAGAACAAGTTACACATTTGAATATTTATTTATTTATTTAATAACCATCCGAACGAGTCACCTGACCTCTCAAACAGTGTATTGACCGGTTATATAGAATGTCACAGCCATTCGCATTTTCAAATTCTTCTTTCATGATTCGAAAATATCTCTTAGAATAGATTTTCATAAGAGGAATCACTAATTATGTTGAACTTGCGTGATTTTTTCTGGCCACGAACAATCGCATACGTGAGCTGTCAGGCACTGAGCGGTATTGGCCTCAAACCGAGCGATATTAATCACACTGGCTGGGCGGTATCGGCGACATCCTCCGAATGTGACAAAAAATTTTCTAATTATTAATTAAAAGATGAAAAAAGTAGATTTCGGTGTCAAATGAGGTGAAAAAAATTACATGCTGATGGTGGAGTTCTCAGATTGAGTAAGAAACATTGTGGGAAAAGTAAATGGTTGTGCGGAAAATCAGGTGAGCGGTGCAGGCATCGCCTTCCCTAGTTACAAAGTGCGTGTTTGCTCAGATGGGAAAACCGCGGCTTCAAAAATTGGCTGTGATCTCACGGAGATGAGAATCGGAGTGTTCTGGATTCGAGTCCTGGTCTAGGGTATTAATTTTTCCAGAAAGCCTCTCGTAATGTTTACAGCAATTCAAATAATTCATGCACCGTGTAACCATAAGGTCCCATTCCATACAGGCACATGTGAATTGTTGAAAAATTCACGTCTAAATGTGCAGCTAATCGTCCAATTTCATAATGATAGGTTGTCGCCCACGAAAATGGCCATCGCAGAGGAATGAGAATGAGGGCTGCAAGGGAAGTAACAAAAAAAGAAAGCATTCTGTAGTCCAACACCTAAAAACACTCGGTTTATATATTTCGACGAGGGAAATTGTAGCAAACAGGGAAAGAGGGAGAGAGAATGAGACAAACGAAAACGCCTTCTCTTAACGATTCCGAGTGCGGCGAACCGGTTAACCGGTCATTAGCTGATCGCACACCGGTGGATGTAAATTAAGCATTGGGGTAATTTCGGGCCTTCTAGCTTTCCCTCTCTCTCTCTCTCTTTCTCTCGTTTATTTTTTTACCACTCTTTGGAAAGAGGGGAATCGAGCATGAATAATGACAGGCTATCGCCAGGTGAACGGATATCACAAGTTTACGGATATTACAACTGTTGTGACTCTGCTAATTAACCAAATACAATTTTTAAAGACTAGAGCAAACTTTTTTCGACGTGGTCGTACACCTGCATTATTCAAATGAACACAGAAGAGTGCTGCGATTATGTTTTTACATAAGTTTGGTGATTGCTATTCAAATTAATGTACTATAATTTAAATAGAGAGGAGAATTGAAGTGAACACATTTTTATAGTTTTTTTTTATTGCATTCATTCAACGAGCACGTCGAGTAACATTATGTTCACCTAAAATATCGTTACTGAGGGTCACTCATTTTTAACAATTTCCACGACAGGTTCATTTCACACATTTATTTGTCACAGATACTCACACGGAGAGAAATTTTTGATAAAAATTATCCTACCGTTCTGTAAAAGGGTATCATGAGTCAAAGTTTCCTCATTTCTATCCCGAAATTTAACAGTTAATATATGTTGATCAAATCTTATTCTACGTTAGAGAAATTTTATCCCGATGAAAATAAAAATTACCGTGGCGGTAGAATTAATAAAATTTTTCACACAATTTCCTCCGGAATTCCTCACAAAATTGACACATCTGAAATTTTTTAGCGCTAGTTCTCGAAATGTTCTCGTGCTTCCGCGCAAAATTTAATGAATCTACAGAATTTTCTGTGCTCATCTAGAATTTTTATTATTCCAAATTTTATTCGAGAGAATAAAATAGAATTTCCACCCGATTTTTCTCTCCGTGTGCTGCTATCAGGAGTATTCAATAACACAATAAGACGACTTCAACCTCGCATCAAAAGTTAATCCATTCCTTGCGACTTTGAAACCTTTTGTGGCTCACATCACCAAAGACAAGCAAGAATTCCACCTTTCACAAGGAATTCCCAACTGCATTAACCTCATTTTCCCCTCACACGTCTCTCCTGTTGAATTTTTTCCCATCTTCCTGATGTATCCAGCATGTAATACAACCACAAGCTCACCCTCGTCACCATCAGCTTTGTCATGGAAACCCCGTAATTACAACCCCGGAGGTCTTCTCGTTTTTCACGTTCAATGAGAACACCACACCCACTCCTCTCCGTCTCTCTCTCT